CGTCCGTCACCAGCACCCGCAGCTCGTGGTGCGCCCGCTCCTCGCGGTCCAGCGCCGCCCAGTTTATGATTTCACCTGACGGCCAAGGAAAAGGGGGGAGAAAGGGAGTTAGGCGTTTAGCGTACGCTAGCACTCATCTTAGCCCGTGCAATTATGCATTTGACTTCATGTGTAATAATGATACGTGCCCTCTGATACATCTGATCACTGACACGAAAACCTCGAACCCCATTCTGTAGAAACATCTGTCAATAGCAATTTTGCAAATGTACTTCAGAGCCCTACGACATCTTTTACTGAACACTGGGCACCCCAGAGCGAAGGTATAAAAACAGCGTGAACCAAAGTGCTGACCTTCCAAAGAAATCCACCTGGCCTTCACCACACTTCAGGACACATAATACATGAGCACTGGGGTTTAACTGCTGACAAGGGGCCATTATTAATTATGTACATTAATCATAAACCCTTATGCTCCCATACATTCTGGTAAACCCAGCAAATAAATCTGACCAATCTTCTCCCTATCTACTTAGCCAAATCCAATATAACCAGAGATTTGCGGTTGACCAAAGCTCATCACACAGATAACCACATGGGGTTTTTTATATCTTCTTGGTTAACTTCCAGTATTCTGTTTGCCTGTAAGCTTCCGTGAGTGTACTCAAAAGGAACCTGCTTTTATTTTGAGATTCATATAGAGAAATTCTGGGAATGCCTATTCACACAGGGACTGGACATCTGGAAATTGGAATTTTAAACAGCAGATCTTTGCTCCCTACATATCATTTTGCTAAACTGGATTATTTACAGCGCCTGTGTCCCTTGAAGGATTCCCTTTCTTTAGGCTTTCCATGCTCTGCTCTCTGGTGTTATGCGGTGTACACATAACCCCTATTACTTGAGGCATTGGGGATTCACTGCAGAGTACACCCTATGCTGTGAAAAATTTCTCTCAGCCAATTTGACTTCTGTGATGCCATCTACAACACAAACTCAGTTTTGATGTCAGTTACAGAAACATTCACAAGTATTTTAAATCACTTTGTCTAATTTCATAAGTACCTTTATAGTTACTTATGGCTGATCTGTACTTTTCAACTCTACTTGATCACAGGCAAAAAAATTTCCCATATGAACTACTGAAGTTATAACTTAAAACATTTTTTTTGGCCAAACACTGAAACTTATGCCCAAGTGACATGAACAAAGTCATGAAAAATATAAAATCCTAAGGGCTAGTCCATCTTTCATGAAAATGTATTTGGTTTATTTCATTCCCCAAGTTGTGAAGCTTAGAGTTAAAATATTTATATATCAAGCAAAAAGACTCACAGCAGTTCCTGAAAGCTTTATACTTTACTTCCATACCCTTAGGGAAGGCTGCTTTCCAAAAGCAGTATTAGGCAGATTATAAATCATAAAATGCTACCTGTGTTGGAGTTAATCTTGAAATATTTTCCATCAGACAAGAGGAAATAGGAAATCTGTCCATTTCTTCCTGAGTCTTTGTCAATGGCTGTAATGGTGCCAACCACACCACTGGGAATTGGATTTTCCTCAATTTCAAAGAAGTAGCTCTCACGCATAAACATGGGAGAATGATCATTTTCATCCCGCACATTAACTATTATAGATGTACTTGCATTTTGCCTAAGGTTTTCATCCTGAGATGTGCTGACCAAGGCTCTAAAACTCAGCATCTGTGCGCATTCATAGTTCAAACGTTTCCGAAGATAAACCCAGCCTGTATCAGAGCTGATTCCAAATACAACAGAATCAGTGCTAGGCTCTAAGGAATATGTCAGATTGGAAGTAATGCTGTGTGGATCAAGTGAGTGGGCTTGAACCTGAAGGATTTGGGCACCTGGAGAGGTAGCTTCACTGATTTCTACTTGATACACCAAGCTTTGAAAAACCAAAGTAGGGCCCATCTTCTGCTCTTCAATAACCACGGTCAACACCAGCAAAGAAGTCAGAGGAGGACTTCCACAGTCTTCGGCTGCTATGTGTAGAGTATATTCCTTCTGCTTTTCTGCAAACACTGTCCTGGTAAGGTTTACCACTCCAAGACTTGGATCAATGCTAAATGCATCTGACTGCTTGCTTGCAATACTGTATTTGATTGCCCCGTTTAGGCCACTGTCTTTGTCTTCTGCGTGAGCAATGTAGACAGCAGTGCCAGGAGGCTGGGTATGAGAGATGGTTACTTTATCAGATTTGGTAGGAAATACTGGGGGGTTGTCATTAATGTCTGTCACAGATATGTTGACTTGAGTGCTGCTGTAGACAGGGGAATTACCCAGCTGTGACTGAACAGTGAGCACCACAACAGGCTGAGCTTCGTGGTCAAGCTGTTTCTTGGTGCGGATAATGCCAACCTGGGGGTCGATAGAGAACTTTCCATGTGGATCACCGGAGCAAATTCTATAAGAAACCACCTCTAATGAATCTAGAAATAGAAAAAACAACAAAAAATGTAAAACAAATAAAATAAAATATGGAAGTGATAACAAACATAGGCAAGAACATCTGGGGGGAATGCATGCTGCTAAATTCAATGGAATAAATGTAAGCTACACAGATGTTTGACATTCTTAGGCTTTTTATGCTTCCTTCTTCCCATCCCTGGAGCCCTTCAGAAAAACATGAATGAATACAGTTTGTCCACTTCTGCACTGTTTGATTTTCATCACACTGGTATTATAAAACTCTATAGAGAAAATCACATAATAGCCTCTTGTTTTTCCCTGATCTAAAATACAGAAAAAACATTCCTATAAATTAATCTTGTGGGAGCAATTTCACTACACACAGGCATTTACTATAGCAAGGACTGAAACAGATGGCAGTTCCCTGAAAAAAAAAAAGTATTTTAATAAATGTACTGTTCATGGGTGATCATTGTTGTAACATACATCAGATGCTACCTAAAGCATAAGCTTATGGGTGCTATCTCCACCCCGAGGACAGTCCTTCCCAAAAGAAGGAAATGGGAGGACATGACTAATCAAGTTTGTATGAAATCTTGTCATCTACCACCTTATATTTACAGATCCATCATCAGGCTATTATGTGGACTCACAGATCCCGCTGCTCTGCATAGGAACCAAATACATAGAGCTCTCAGGACAGGGCTTTTTATGACCAAGGACTGTCAGGAGCTAACCCATTTCCCTTTACAAATTATAACAAAACCAGATGGATTAAATATATTTTCAAAGAGTCCCACAAACATTCATCTGGACTTCCCTTAATTTGAGACAGTGTGATGTTTTGTTTGGTCATTTTGTTTTTTGATGGGTGGCCAAGAGCATTTCTTGAAGATCCTCTGAAACTTCTGAATACTTTCTTATTTTAAGTATTGCTCTGAGATTTGGCTTGCATGGCTAATGCTTTAACATGAGCCAAACCGTCACACTTACTTGAACTTTCACAACATGCTTCCTATCTCCCCATTTACAATTACAGAAATCCATCAGGATGTAAATGGAGGTCATTGCCAATCTCTATGGACCACCAAGGAGCATACCATGAATCTCCAACTGTTCTAAAGAGCATCCTGATAAACCAGCCATTACACCAGTTGCTGTAAACACCAACAGTAAATTCTATTTAATGCTTGACAGACTGAATGAATAACATGGAGGTTTATGGGGGAAATAAAAATCATCCACAGCTATTTCCAGTTAATGGTCACAACAAAAATACAACAATCTCTGACCGAGAATGTGACTTACTCGTAGGCTCTCTGGCCTTCACGGTGCCAATCACGCTGTCTTCAGGTGCATCTTCTGGAACAGAAAAGCTATACCGAGATCTCTCAAATGTGGCAGGAACCAAAACAGTCTGAAGGATGTTTACTGTGACAGCTGCATTGCTGGCAGAGGGAAGGCCACCCCCATCCCGTGCAGAAACAGTCAGGAGGACTGCAGAATGTGTCAGGTGGCCAAGAGCTGAGGTAAGATAAATAATTCCTGAAAGTACACAGAAATAAAATAGCACTTAAGAGAGATGTAAGACCACATTCAGCAGGCTGTCAAATTAGTTTTAACATGTATTGCTACTCTAAGAGAAAGTCAGACCATGTGGACAAAAATCAGCACTCCCAATTCAATTTTTGAGAACCAAGTTTTTAAAACGTTATGATCTTTACCATTCACAGAGCCACTGAAACACAGAAAGTTCTGTTTCAAAACACAGCATCCATAATTCTGATTTTAGAAACACAGATTCAGTTAAATCTTTAATGATGCTAAATTTTACTGCTACTTTAAGTCTATAGCAACTTAGAAATGCATTGGGGTAGAAAAAAAGCATTGTTACAAATTAATTTATCTTTGCAAATGGTAAAGTTAATGTTATTTCAAACAGGCCACAGAGACATTCTGCTTAAATAACTCCTGAAATAAAACATCCACACAAATGGAGTTAAAGCCCCAAAATATAAATCTTAGGAGCCGGGGTTTCTGTGGAAAATACCTGGTAAACAATCACCTGCTGTCTGATCACAACTTTCTGTCAAAATACCCTTTAATAGTGAATTCTAAGGTCCATTGAATTCTCAAGCTTCTAAGAATTACATTTTATATAAACTGTATGAACTAATTCTTTGAAAATAATGCAATGTTCTGTCCCAAAATATAGTACTTTGGATGTTCATTTCTCAAGACAATATATTTGCAATTAAGTTTTTCAACATGAAAATGAGGATGAAAGGTGACCAAATGCAGGAAAATTTTTCTTAACAATGAGTTTAACTAAATATACACTAAATGCTATAATCACAGTGTGCTAAGCAGAAAAATTGCAGTAAACTCCATTCAACTAATAGGGACAACCCTTTACATACCTACAGATATTTTTAAGAAATTACCTAGCTTTTTGTAGAAGCTGGTTAAGACACAGAACCTCTGGCAGTTCAGTAAGACCAAACCTTTAAACCTTGGGCTACCTTTATAATTTCCTGGCTGTCAGGAAGAGTTTAGTAAGGATGATGTCTGCCATTCAAGTTGGAATTTAGTGGTTAGACAGGGTAAAAACTAGTGTTAGCTCAAAGCATCTTAGGAGAATCAATGCATGATTCAATAAGAATATATCTTCTCAGAATTCAGGGTGAAGCTACAACCTTAATTTTCTACAATCCATTTAATGCAGAATAATGGAAAATACATAAAATTCTTAGAAAGATTCAAATGTGTGTGCATGCAGTATACTTTCCAAATATACTGCCAGAAGACTATAATAAACTATATGTCTTGATATGCTTAAAATGCAGTAAAAGGGTCTTCAGGATCAAGGAAAAATGCTTTTCACTAACAAAAAAGGGACACTTATTCCAGTGTGACAAACCACACTAAAAGCTCAGCATTGATACAGACGGATTCAGGGTGCAGTGATGATCTAGCTCAGCTGAATCCAGCTTAGCTTTGCTAACAACTGATGTAATTCTAAGAAACAACCTTATTTTGGCTTTTTAAATTTTTTTTTTTCTTCTACTCGTTGAGTTTTATGATTACTTAAGCAGCTCAACAAAGTAGTCCTTCAAGGACACAAACTTTTGGCATTTCCCAAGGTAATCTCAGTAATTGTAGCTTGAAGGAAATAGGGGTTTAACTATTTTTCCCCAGAGGATAAACATATACACATGGATTTTTAATATAATTTCTGTCTAATTTAAATCAATCAAATGGACTATATGTTACTAGTTTGACCAACTGGATATTTTTCTGTTGACAAGGATATAAATATGTCTTCATTTAGATACTTCAAGAGGTATGTGGAGAACTGGAAAACTTCTACAGAAAAGCATCAAATTGAAAATCTTACTCTCAGAGGAGTAACTAAAGACTTCAGAACATCCTTTAGCAAAGGGTGGAGCAAACAGTGCTCCATTCCAGGAAGACTTGATGGAAAAGAATTATTTCAGAACCAAAGCTCCTTCTCTGCTGACCTAGACACATCGCAGCACATTCCATGCCAGTTCAGTTATAGAAAGCAGAAAGAAAATTAATAAAAGATTTGTTTTCTTTCTTCATTCTTTTGCTGTGTCCTAGGGAAAAAGGAGTATAAGCAAGTCCATTTTGCCAACTCAGCTCTCTTTTGCAGGACCAGGGACACCATAAGAACAGTAGCAAAATGCAAGTAAAAAGTATATGTTTTCCATATGGTTCCCTCCAACCTCAAAAACTGTAGTATGCAGAAATTTAATAACCCATTTTGACTTTTAACTGTGTACCTTCTGTTTATTTCAGCATTTGTAGGACTGGGCATTATCTTTGCATCTGGATATATATAATCTATAGAGACATTTGAGATAGCTCTGCCATATGTTGGTGAACAAGCCTCATTAGGCTCTATTATCACACCACATGATGGGAAAGAAGTCGTAGAAGAAAACAGCATCTGGGATTTCACTTTCTGTATGATTAGGTAAAACAGCAGACTGTGACTAAAAGGGACAGTCAGGACACTTGGGCCAAAAGCAGCTGCTAGCACACCTCAGAGCAGAGGTGGCTGGATGCATTTCATCTGCTGCAGCAGGGCACAGGAGATACCCGAGTACTACACTGCAAAGGCAGAAAAACAGAAGGAAATTACACAGAGCAGGAACTGTCAGTCACAGGTCCAGTGTGTGAAACTCAACAGAGGCCTGTCTCTCTAAGTAACAGACTGAAGATGAACCATGGTTTTCCTTTCTTCCTCATTCTGTAATTAAGATTGGGGCTTATTATTCTTATTACCACAATTATTTGCAGCCTGTAATGCAAGGCTTCAGAGAGAACTTAAAAGACAATTAGTTTGCTGTGGTAGAGAATATATTCTTCCATTATGAACAACAGTTTCTATAAACATTGACAATGGAAAAGGATGAAACAGCTCCTCTGCAAGGAATGTTTTACTAAAGCTCCCAACAGGGGGACCACAAATACACAAGTGTGGGTCCACTTTTTAAGAAAAGTGCCACCTTTCTTACAGCTTGACTTGCCATATAAGTGAACAGTCTTATCTGCTGCCTTTAAAAACATTTCATTCCCATTTTTCAAATTAATATTTATATCACTGCAGTGCTCTGAAGATTTTACCTCTGGTTAATTCCTTATTCTGCATGAGAGAGAGCTGGAATCATTTCTGCTTCGCAGGTGAACAATCCTATAATTACACACCAGATGAAGCATTAACATTCAGCCTCATTCACACCCTGGCAATCTCATTTTCTTGACTAGATCCGCATGGGCGTAACTGATTGCAGATCCCAACCCTTTAAATCAAAAGCATGACATACAGACTGCCTGCTGCCTGGGTATGATCTGGATACAGATTTCAGGCAGAATTTGCAATGCTGGATGCATGTTAGCAACTGCCACTGCAGGCTGAAGTCTGGGAATAGCTCTGCTCCAAGGCAGGTCAGCACAGCTGGAATTACAGATGTTTTGCTGCAGGACAATCTGTGCTTAAGGGCTAGCAGAAATCATTACGATGGTTTGGAGGACTGAATGTATGGGGAGAACTAATACTGAAGGCAAAATCCTAATGGCCAACTCTTTAATCTGCTTCATACTTCCTCACTCACTGTACATGGTAGGGCATGAATTTCCAAGAAGTCTCGCTCTCCACTTCGTGCCTATTCACCCAGGAAATGCAAATGCACTAATGAAGGACAGGACTCTGTGTCACCCACTATCCTCTACCAATGGCAATATTTCTCATGGGATTTTGCTGTTCTTATTTTTGTGGAGGTGCACCCTATTCCACAAGTGGGTTAACTGCTGTTTCTCAACAGTTAAAGGCAGGAGACAGGAATCCACATGCAAAGATTCTTTTAAAATACATGTTTTATTATATTAATGATCCTGTGTTCAGTCCGAATCTTACAACAGCATACAGCACCAAAATAGGTTCATTCACCAAAAGAACTTTTTGTGTGGAAAAAAAATCATACTGGTTAGCCCAATAGGACTTCTACACACATCTCCATTTGAGCACTTCGAAAATCTGGTTTTGCACAGAGTTCTACCATTAGCAAAACAAAAACCAGCCCTACATTTATAGCCATTTGTAGGTAAACCAAATGTTTTCCACTAGTCAAGTGCTGCAAAGATAAATACCAGGATGCACTAACTTCAGTAACAAAGTCTGGATTGCATAGGTATGCTTAAACAGCTTCTAATATTATATCATTGTTCAAGAAATAGAAAAGCAACTTTAGAATACAGCAAGAGGAATAAAATTCAATCAACAGTTACCAGTGATGTTACCTAAGCCCTTGAAAGCAACCACCCTTATAAACTTTAAATGATGGCAGTATTTCTTCAGCAAATAACCTAGTATGGGCCAGCTGGCATTACCTGACACAGCTCAGACAACAAACAGATGGCCAAAAGGTCCACATGGTTCCTCACCCCAGTTCACCTTCAAAGCCGGCCACTGGGCCTGCTGTTTACTGTGCAGGTCAGAACTGACCCACTGATCTGCCCAAAGCACCCACCCCAGCTCGGCCACTTCCCAGTGTGGGGGTGCCTACACAGCTTTGCTCTTTATGTCTCAGAAAAAAACTTCAAGATGAGCACATCTGTGCTGGGTGATCCTCCAGAATATGGATGCAGTTAGAAGTGTGCATTTCACATTAACATTAAAATCAGCATTGTTTTAAGGAGGAATGACAGTGTTTCTGCTTGACATTTCTGTTTAAGTTTATCCAACTCATTGCCTCTGCTGTCATCTTAGCATTGCATACAGATTCCAGCTTTAGCATTTTACCTGGACTTAAAATGCACCTTTTTTAGTGAAGCTGCATGCTTGCTGGTAACCATAGCAACACTCTGCCAAATACACTGAAAAGCTGGTTTAATAACTGCCAGGGGAAGGAATTAATAAGGAATTACATTTACAGTCTACCTGCTGTAATACACACAGCTTCAGCTCACATGAAAGTCTTTAAAAAGCTTACTTTTGATGACACAAACTCTGGTTTGCA